TTTCTTTCTTGAAACCGGAGTATTTGCGTTTCTAACCCTACAAATGCCAGCGTGGCAAGAGCCCCAGCCCCTGCGCGGGGACTCGCTGACCAGCGCTGCAGAGGCGTCGCGAAGGCCGCGGCCTGTCAGCTGATGCTCCTTTGCGTTAAAACCGCATTTTTAACGCCAACGAGCTAATAAAACATTTTAATAAATAAATTTGCCGTAAACACACGAATAAGTGCTTCCCATGGTGTTCATTCTCCAAATGACTCAGTCGATGCCTTAAGGTGGTTATCATAATTAGGTGTGTAACGCTTAAATATTTGTAGCTCAGAAGATGAGGTGGACGTACTCCTACATGGCACTCCTGACCAGAAGCGGAAGCTGATACGGGAGTGCCTGACTGGGGAGAGCGAGTCTTCCAGTGATGATGAGTTCCAAAAGGAGATGGAAGCGGAACTGAACACCACCATGAGAATTATGGAAGGCAAATGGACGTCACCAGAAATGGGTAAATCACGCTTAACATCTGCTTGCATATGAAATCGTGAGTTAAGTGGTGTCCAGTTAAGGTGCAAAGTTAATGTATTATTCTTGTGGCTAGAGGCCTGTGTGGTGACAGCTGAATGCTGTTTGAAGCCTACAGAAAATCCTAAAAAGCCGATTGCTTCTGCAGAAAGTCTTTTCCAAGACTTCGATTTTTGGTGTTTCTGAAGTTCTGATTTCCTGCTTTAATATGATTTCTCTTTTGTTGGATCAGTCCCCTTTTTTCCAATATCTCTGTAACTTCTGTTTTAAGTTGTTCTTTCACATTTATTTAGAAGTCTGTTGAGCAGGTTGCGTTCTCTTGTACTTTGTCTAGTGGCTCCAGATGCTATCAACATTTGGAGCCCTTTTTTGAAGAAGAGAGTACTGTAAGGTAAATTGAGATCCCATATCAGTTTGGGGGAAAAAGTCAGGAAAAATATTAATCTCTTCCTCCATTACCTGCATGTAATTACATGTTACATCAAATCGTAAAACTGTACTAAAGAGATATGCGTTCTGGTGTTTGTGTACTATGGGTGCAAGAGATGCATTGCTTTGGCGTTTGAAGAGCCTGTGTTCTTTGTATGTATTACAAAACACTCCTTAGTTTTCTGGAGAATCAACGTAGCATTCACTTTAATGTAGGGACTTAACTCTGCATTCAGTAGGTTTAATAGTTTTATCTGCGTTAGTGGGCAAATCTGATCTGTAGGTTTTAGTTGTGCAATTAAGATGATGTAGCAACTGCACCACAAAATGTAGCAACCACCACATCCATCCAGCACAGAATAGGATTTTTCGTGCAGACTGGCTGTGACAACTGTGCTTGGCAATTCATCTAGGTCTTTTTTGAACTTTGTGGCCCAGGAATTTTGGGGGATTTTTTTAGTGAATCTTACTGTAATCAAAGTTTGTGAAACAGTGTGCCACACCCATATTTCTTTCCCATGACTGAAGATTTATGGTGTCTGAGATTGTGTGAATTATATAGGCAGGCGTATTTGATGTGGTGTCCTCTATGCCTAAAGGGAGTGCATCTTGGGAGAAACTTTCCTTTGAACTATACCTGAGGTTCGTCTCAGAGGGAGTGAGCAGCTTTGCTCCAAGAGAGCATCTGTAAATAAAATAACACAAGCAATGTGGATGATCAGGATATGGGAGTAAATTGGGAGAGCACCCAGATAAAGCAGAGCACTTCTGGATAGAGTAACTTGAAAATGGTTTGTTTTGGGCTGTATACTTGCTGTCCTTTTGGTGGGGTGTTCTGACCGCTTCTCTCTCCAATTTCACACATAGGTACTTCCTCAAGTACTGGGCAGACTGGACCTGCCGCCACTTCAAAATACTATGATGACATTTACTTTGATTCTGATTCAGAGGATGAAGATAAAATAGGTAAATGGCTCAGGAGAGGAGGACATCTTTACAGTAGTACTCTCAGATCGTGTAGAATCCTCTTGGGGGGTCACAGGGCTGTTCCTGAAGGCAGCTTTTTGGGCGGAATTACCAGCCTGTATCACCTTAGTGTAGTTCCTGGAACTTGGTGGTGTTTCCCAGTGTACGTAAGGTGCATTAATGCTTCGGCGTGGTGCATTTGGAGGATAAATGAGCTAGACCTTTATGTTTTAGCTTAGATTCATTGCGAGTATGGGAAAGGAAAACTGAAAAACTGATACTTTGGTTATTTTATTTAAGCAGAGAATCATCGTATGTCTGATGGATGTAACATGTGCTTGCACAAATCTTTCCAGTTACACAGGATGTCCGGGAAAACAGAAAACATCAGCAACGTCGGATTCTTTCCAATGATGAACTGCTATATGACCCAGAAGAAGACAGTCGAGACCAAGAGTGGGTAGACTCACAGAGGAGGGGGTAAGAGACCATAGATACTTGACTTGTAGGATGCTTAACATAAAATGAAAAATTTAAATAAAAATGGTGAATATAGAGAAAAAGCCTATGCTGTTAAGTCTATGTAATGAAAAAAACTTTTTTTTTTTTAATTTATAGCATAGAAATTTAAAAGCATGTAAAATTTTTACATGTATGTAATGGAAGTTGAGTCTTCAAAATGAAACAATTCTAAAACTTGCAATTTTTTAAAATCTAAACTTCCTAATTCAGTAAGCCAACTTTGTCTGTAGATCTTATCTAAACAACCATATTGTGGATTTTGAGGTTGTAAGATTTGCTAATTTCAATTTTTAATGCCCTGGGATACTTTGCTAAAGTTAATATCTGTTCCTGCTAAATATTGCAGTACTGGCTTTGGAAAACTTTGTATTTAGCAAGCGACAAAATGGTCAGATAAAATAGGAACAGCACAAAGCTGCTTTACTGACAGCTTTTTGACAGAGGAAGTAAAAAAACAGTTGCTGCAGCAGAAGCAAAATTCTCCATGTAAGTCTATTGAAAAGGATAACAATGTATGTTGCCTGCAGAAATTGCACTTGAGACAACTGCCTCGTCAGAGGAGAATGTTATTAGGCACAAATTCTCATGCTAGATGTATTTGTTTCACCAAATAAGATTCCTCTGTACAAAGTAAATGAAGATACTGGTATGTGGTTTCCCCCCACCCAGTTTATTTATTTATGTGCTTTGAGTTAGTGAAAAAGGTGTCCAGAAGGAGCCAAATACTTACTGGTATATTTTAACATAAAACAGATTTGGAGGTTGAATCGATATATCCAACAACAAGGGCACGTAATTTCACTTTTTGTGTCTCCTTCCTTCTTTCTTGAATTGGTAGGTACCGTAATCAAAGAAGAGTGCTGCAGCAGCAGCAGGCAAAACCTTCAGCTGTTCCAAATAGTGATGCTGTTCTGAATTGCCCTGCTTGCATGACAACATTATGCCTGGACTGTCAGAGGTAACTGGTGAACAATAAGGGGTCTTTTTGGAATGTCTTTTTTTGGTCAGTTGTATTTTTAGTGTATTCAGTTTGATCAGTTGATTTGGTCAAGTCTGTCTTGTGAGGTGGAGCTAACAAAAGAGAAGGCAGGTATATGTGAATCAGATTTAGGGGTGAATGCTGGTCTGTTAGAATGATGATTAGCTTAGCCTGCAACATGGAGATGAGGAAGACCAGGGTAGAACTTTAGCATAGTGGAGAAGGTAAACTATATAAAAACCATTTCACGGAGACTAAACAAGAAATTCAGAGTGAGTTGTGGGTGGTGGGCTTTTTGTTTTGTTTTGTTTTGTTTAAATATGTTGGCTTGATGTTTAGAGTCATAGGATTATTCCAGGTTAACTATTATTTTTGTGTGAAAGGGCCTTGTTTAGGGGAGGATTAAGCAAAATCAAGATAGTGTAGTCTTGGTTTGAGTCTTAGCAGTTGTGATTTTGAGTATAGTTCTATTTAAAAGTGCCTAGAAAGCATTTAGGTGAGACTCCGTAGTGTGTTTTGCAGCTCTCCAGTATCTGACTGCACTGCAAACCTGGTTAGTACAGCTAACCTGTGCTAAGGAGAGGACTCTTGAACTGGGAGTAAAGCAGAAAGAAATCTTATGAAATGAGGAATGAACTACCTCTCGTTTATTGAGTACTTTTGGTGATTAAGGCTGAAATTCCCCAGCAGCCTAAAATCATCTAAGTGGGAGGTGCTGTTTCTCATTCTTGCCTTTGCTGGCTATGGTATTTCTTGACCCTGTTCTATCGTTAAGTATTTCAGTTTGCTAAGCTGATGGAAAACTGTTTTTATTGTCAGACTGGTCTTTTGTGGTTTTAATAAACTGAGATAGCTCAGCACAGAATTACATAATAAGTAAAGCCAGCAGAAGTCAAGACAGGACTTCTGCAGCCACCTGTTGTGTTGGTTAAGGCTGCTGGAAAACTGCAGCCCAAGGGACACTGTGTTGAATTGAATTGAACTGCAGCCCTGAATTTTGCTACGTACTCCAGCTATACAGTTTTTCTACTGATGACAGCTGAAAATATATTTTACATTTTACATTTTACATTTTACTATAGGCATGCTTTTTCAAGTGTGGTGTGTCATCATTTGTTATTTATAAGTAAGGAATTTCAGGCTTGCAAGACATTTTAGGGTATAAATGCCAGTATTTGAGTAATTTACACTCGCAACTTCATGATCTTTTGACTATCATCAGCTATACATAGCGATGCGTAATTCTGTGGTACCAATAGCATTGTACTCTGGGGTGTTTATTGCAGCAAGAACTAGTGTGTTTTTAAAAACACCTTAAAAATAAGAGAGATGTCTACAGTTCTATTTTTTTAAGATTTTTGTAGTTGTGACTTTTGTTCTGTTTATAAAACTTCATATTTATTTGGCTTTCAGCCCTTTGTCACGGTACTTCCTATCTTTAATCCCATTTCCAGCAACGATAACCAATTTCTTGGAAGTAGTGTTTTACCAATGGCATGACTTGCATTTTCTCTCCTCCATAGACATGAATCTTACAAAACACAATACAGAGCAATGTTTGTGATGAACTGCATTGTTAACAAAGAGGAAATTCTGAAATACAGAAAGAAGCCAAAGAAAAGAAGTAAGAAAATGAAGCACAGCAAAGAAACTACCTCTATACAATCAAATCAAGAAGAGGAGGAAGTGTATCATCCAGTATTATGTACTGAATGCTCAACTGAAGTGGCAGTAATGGATAAAGATGAAGTTTTTCATTTCTTCAATGTTCTAGCCAGCCACTGCTAATGTGCAAAAACAGGAGAAAAAAATCCTGCACTGTTTGAGACTGTGTGAAGTATCAGAAATGCAGGCATATTATCCCTTTTTAAATATGGTCTTTTAAATGTACATTTTCATCAGAGAACTTTGTAATGGTTGTATTTTTGCAAAGTTTATGAATACAGTTAACTGCATGCATTTGAGAGCAATATTCTTTCACAGAGTCAGGTGGTTGTGTCATTGAGGATTTAAAATTTTGTAAATATAATGTAAGATCTGTGTATTATGATCATTCCCTGTAATATATACTACCCATTATCTCAATATGTATTAGAACTGCTGCTTAGAATAAATACTGTATAGTAAACTGGTTCTCCATAGCTGCGTTGGTCATTTCTACGGCACATGGTAAACAACTCTCTGTCAGGATATTTGGCTTCTTTAGGCTGGTATTCTTGGTAGATTTGCACACAGGTAGGTTTGATAAAGAAGGAATTGTCATTATATTTGGATTTTTGGCCCATTAAGAGCTGAAAAATGTCAATTTTTCATTTATACAGGGTGGAAGATTAACTTACATCAAGTTTTCTGGCATGGATCATTTAAATGAACACATTACTGCTTAGTAATACAGTTAAAGAGTTTTTAATGTAAATACATTATATATGAGGAAAATACTGGACTTTTGTTCTAGTGTCCTTCTTCCTTATGGTGAGACATTTTAAGAAGAAATTTGTGGTCATATTTATGACCATAGATCTAGTTTGTATGCTTTTTCTGTTTCTTTAGTACATTTACAGCTCCTTTATGGAGGAGAAATTTCTTTCCTGAGAGAGTGGCCAAACATTGGAACAGGCTGCCCAGGGAGGTGGTGGAGTGACCATCACTAGAAGTATTAAAAAAACTTGTAGTCATGGCACTTCAGGATATGGTTTAGTGGGCATGGTGATGTTGGGTTGATGTTTGGACTTGATGATCTTAAAGGTCTTTTCCAACCTTAATGATTTTGTGATTCTGTGATTGTTAATTTTCTTAACGGGCTAACTGGTCTCCTGAGTATGCACCGTACTGAAAAGGTGTAAGGGGTCTCGGCACCACCTGGTGGCATAGGGCAGATGTGGCAGGAGATTTTGAAGCTGGCGTGCGTCATTATCTTTGCTCTCATCTCAGGTACTTTCTTGCTGCTCCTGCTTCTTGCTTGCCTTATCACTTGAATTGCAGAGCTGCTTCTTAGGAAGCATTGGAGCAGGTGGGACTGGGACTCATTTGTGTCATATTGAGATTAGTCTTGCAGCTTTGAATGGCAGTAATGCTTCAGTTGTGCTGAATACCCCACTTGTCCTTGAACTTTGTACATATTTATATTGAAAGGAAGCTTTCCTGATTACCACCACTTTTTCAAGCAGCGACACCAGCACAAGGCTCCTCCAGCAGCAACTGCAACAAGGAACAACAGCCTTGGATAGGGACAACAGCTCCTGTAGCCAGTTGTGTGGGGTATTAATCATGTGAATCCTCTCATTTCTTGTGCTGAAATAAATCTGCATAGATAAAAGTGTGTCTAAATGTCTTCTGGTTGAATTAAATCCCTTTTCAGATTCTGCCACACAAAATAGTACAGTATTCAGTTTTCTCTGCCAGCTTGTTTTCTTTTTCACAGTTACTTTCTGTACATTTACTACTTCTGTAGCTGTGTTTTGCAGCTCTGTAAACAACTTGTATGTGCATCCTCCTGTAACTCTACTCCCTTGTTTTTCATTGTACTAATAGCACAGGTGAGGGTAAGGGCGGGGTGGCTGCAAGAACAGAATCATGCTGCTCAGTGACACCATCGCAAATTGATTTACTAAGCAGGGTGAATGTAGTGGGCCGATACCAGTTTCTGAGCTACACTGTGCATGCTTGGTGTGCGAGGTCCTTGGCTGGTGGCCTGGCCCTGGTGACTAGTGGTTGCACCTCATGCTCTGTGTAGTCATGGTGCCCGATTACCACCTACATCCCCTTCCAGCAGACTTTTAACTATTGCCTTCTAAACTGGAGTGCCAGTATAAGCTGCCACTGGCCTTTTAAATCATCCAGTCCCAGGCCAGTCTCTGGGAATTTCGCCTTATTTTAGGCTAATTAGCACTCGGGGCAGGGGTGTCCCACTCCCTCTGGGTTCTAGCCCCAAGCTCCTTAATGGAAGTGCAAAATTAGCAACAGCTACAGTAAACAGCTGACCTATTGCCCCTTTATTTTTCCTATTCATATGGGATTAATCTACGGAGTTGGCCGATGTTAAGGTCTCCTTTATCTGAGCCATGTTTTTGTGTGGGCTTCCCCTCTGACAACGGAAGACACCAAGGGCTCCTGCAGAGCATTTTTACCACACTTCGCGCGGGCCCTGCCGAGCGCAGTCTTCGGGTCTTCCATAATTCCCAGAACGTCAATTTAGATTAAAGAGGATGAGTGAAAACAGGCTGCAGCACCATCTCCTAGGTGTGACTCGGACCGGCAGTTTACTCCACGTTCACGGTCAGACACGCCATTTGATCAGCTCGGGCACGAACTGGCGCGCACAGCGGGACTTTTACCCTTCTGCAGGGTATGGCGGTGG